GTTGTTAAACAAATGTTTAAACAACTCTGTTCAATTATATACCAGCTGCCTAGTGTCGGCTAACAATACGAAGAATTAAAATGTGGCGGAATGCTACAAGTTCTTCAAATACGTATAGAATGATAGGTTTGTTTTTTTGTGAGTGTAAAACAGTTAAATACACCAGTTCGAAGAAGTTAAGGTAAGCCGAGTTTTTCCTCAACAGTTTCATTTGTAGGGGCGGTGTTAGGGGGTGCATTGGATGTAATTAAATGGGGGACTCCGGTGAAGGGGCTACTCATCACAGGATATTCAAGAACATACCAATCCCCACTATGGAACAGGATATTAGTAAGTTGATTAAAGCAAATCATTAAAACTGAAACTTTGGAGTTTGTAAAAACTGAAAATGAAATCTAAAAAAAAAAAATACCACAAAGATTCACTGTTGTCAAAATATTGGAGCTAAAAATAAATAAACATGAAAAACTATCACGGATTAACAGTTTTGTTTCGTATGTTGACAAATTTTATGCAAGTAGGTGGGAAGTTTCATACCCCCCTCCCCCCCTTGGAAGAGTAAAACATCTAGATGAGGGTTAGCAGTTTGGTTTCTTTTTATTACTCTACTAAAACGCACTTTTAATAAAACAAACGTCTAAATTTGTAGATATTTGACTGAAAAGATCAACAAGACTGAGAAGTTTGTAAGGAGTTGCTCTTATTTCGTCAGAGGTTCGTGACAATTTGTGTCTATACAAAAAGTCGAAAATATATATTCGTTTTTTTTCTTTTAATAGCTCTGAAATACGAGATTGTACAGTCTGATGAAATCTTGTCATACACAAACACACACGAATGCAAAGAAAATCTTCAAGATGTCACTTACAGTGGTCTCGTTATTCAGTGGTTGCCAGTAGCAACGTGGCTTCTGTTGCTAAGCAAAACGGTTACTGTTATTACATGGAATTACACCAGATGTAAATTAATTCCCTTCACATCTAAATCGAATAATTTCCACCTGAAAAACACCCAGAAATACGACCCTCAACGAAGAACAAAGTTGATAAAAGCTATTATTTCAAATTTGATTTGTTTGAAGGCTTTGTTCTCGAACAAAAAAAAATAAAAGTTTTTTTTTTAAATCAGTAAGATGTATTCCTCTGAGTATCAGCTAATTTTGTTCAATCGTGTAATTGATGTAGCGTCATGCAGTGATGATAGAGCGCCTCCTAACGGTTTGAAATTGATCGAGACCAAGTACTTAATTATATTGCCTGTTCAACGCTCGCTTCATAAAGCTATGCAAGAAAAACAGATGTGAAGGGGCATGCGTACTTGATAGAAGTATGACGTTTTCAATAATATCTTTAAATGAAACATAAATATTTACATTTATCTGTACGTGACCTAGTGGTTAGCGTTCTGGGCTGCGGACCGAGCGCCTGGCGTTCGAAACGTGATGCCACACTTTCAGCTGTGGGCATGTTATAGAAGTAACAGTTACTACCATTATTCAATTCAAAGGACCCATAAAGTCTTTAGGGCGGAGGGTACTGTTGGCTGTATGCCGTCCGTTAATCATTAGTTGATCGTCCCATATTTTATTGAGCCAGGCGTGGATTATGGTGAGCGATCCTCGACTGCGGGTCCCAAATTTAATGTTCGCGTCTCGTTGCCGCAAAAATACACAAACGCTCTCAGTACTTTGTGCTCTGTACGCCCTAAAAATTAGTGGTCAGATAAGAGTTGGCGGTTGGTTTTATTGACTATCAGCCTTCCCTTTTGTCAGTATAAAAATTAAGGATAGTTATACTCAAATAGTCCGTGTGTAGTTTTGCGCGAAAATAGTAAAACAAAAACAAAAAATTCATAGCGTCGAAATGACAAATTTCCACTTTTTTAATATGTACATTCTAGTTTTTGTTACGTTACAGTAGATAAATACTGTTTTATTGAAATAACTCAAAATTATATACATATATCATACCTCTAAGTTAAGTTGCTCGAGGCCCGATACGAAAATGGGCAAGAAACTCTGGGTTAGAGGGTTTATAGTGTAGCTGACCATGTAATGACGATGACCAGTGGTTAAAAAAACTCTTGGCTAGAGGGTTTATAGTGCAGCTGACCATGTAATGATGATTACCAGTGCTTAAAGGAACTCTGGGTTAGAGGGTTTATAGTGTAGCTGACCATGTAATGATGATGACCAGTGGTTAAAGGAACTCTAGGTTAGAGCGTTTATAGTGTAGATGACCATGTAATGACGATGACCAGTGGTTAAAGAAACTCTTGGCTAGAGGGTTTATAGTGCAGTTGACCATGTAATGACGATGACCAGTGGTTAAAGGAACTCTGGGTTAGAGGGTTTATAGTGTAGCTGACCATGTAATGATGATGACCAGTGGTTAAAGGAACTCTAGGTTAGAGCGTTTATAGTGCAGCTGACCATGTAATGATGATGACCAGTGGTTAAAGGAACTCTGGGTTAGAGGGTTTATTGTGCAGATGACCATGTAATGACGATGACCAGTGGTTAAAGGAACTCTGGGTTAGAGGGTTTATTGTGCAGCTCACCATGTAATGATGATGACCAGTGGTTAAAGAAACTCTGGGTTAGAGGCGTTTTATAGGTCGTAGTCCTGAGAGACCATGTAATGATGATGAC